TTTGCAGAGTCTGCTTTCCAAACGGCCTGACTGGAGATGATTAACTGGATCTGAAATAAAAATAGCAACATGGATTTTTTCACTGAGTCTGCTTAGAGATTGGCTGAGCAGGTATACCTTCTGCATTGCAGGCAGTTGCCTTCTAAAAGAAAATGTTACTCTTTCGTTCAAAAAAGAACACCCACTGCACAGCACAATGACTGTCATTTTCTGGTCGTAATGAGCTATCTTGCAACTGTCTCTTCCGATTCCTGCTGAGTCATCAGCCTGCAGATGGATTTTTGGGAAGCAATAAGGAAGATAACTGCCACTCTAGAAATGTTGGTTTTTCTATGGCAGGTATGCTTAAAGCAAAGCTTTACAATGCAAATTGTTCCCTCCAATCCTTTTATTTCTCCCTTTCCCCATTTTATAGCCTCTTTGGGTCTGTAGAAAAAATAAATAAATAAAAGAATAGAGCATTCTTGATTTGTTGCTTATTTCAACTCTTCCTTCCTTTAAAACTGTTAATGGAGTTTTTTTTTTTTAAACCCACCTTGTAGGACATGGCTTACAACCCAGATGATTTATAACTCCGACACAGAATCATATTTGATGCCCAAGCATAAAACATGAAGTAATTATCAGTGCTGACAACTTAAAAGAACACCATTCACAAGTGCTTTTCTTTTTCTCCCCAAATGGACAAAAAATGTCCATTTTTTGGATACTGTTAGAGAGGCAGGCTTGATTAAGCTTATTAGCAATTAAGGAGATCCACTGAACATTATTAAATTTTATTCCTTTTGCATAATGAATCTCTCCTATTTTGCCTTTTTAAAACTGATCCTGTGGAGGCTGGAGCTTGGCTCAATATTAGTAACCCTTAGAAAGAAATAGGAAGTTGAATTAACTTTGAAGCCAGTTCCACAGCTCTCCCCCCATACATTTTTCCCTCTGGGCTAATAGTATTTGGAAATGGATTGCTGGAACTCTGTACAGAACCAATTTTCGTTCACCAATCCCTTTTTAGCAGCTGCATTTTGAGAGAGAAAACCCCAAGAATTGCATTTCTTTTTATCCCAAGTATCTTCTGCTCCAGCACGAATTCTATTTGGACGGAGATCACTTGCATATTCTTCTCAATGTGTGCATTGTTGAATGGCCTGAAATAAAAGTATGACTTTTTTTTTTTAAAAAAAGGACTCGTGCACCTTATTTTTGTCATGAGGTTTGAAGTGCCATTTCCTGTTCCAATCGCCCCATTCTCGGTTACAAGAAGAGCATCTCTTGAGGTTCTACATAATACAAGAATGTCTTCTTCCTCCTTGCTCCATTTCCCCCCTCCCTTTTGTGGCATCCCTCAAGAAGCTGTGCAAGGACCCCTTCTCTCTGCACCACTGGCAGAAATTCTTGGGCTGGCACACTCACACTTCCTATTGGTGGAAACTGCCCCCCCCAAAAAAAAGACATTGGAAGGAGGCCAGGAAGAATGGAAAAGCAAGAGGCATCTCACAGAAGTGTTGTGACCCGTGATCTATTCCCAAATTTCCCTAAAGAAATTTTTTTGTCTGGTCACTCCCATTTTATAAATGGATTTTCCTTGGAGCTATACACTTATGGATTCCACTTTGGCTCAAACTGCCAAGTCTCAGACTTGCAACTGGGACGTCATAAGGGCTCTCCCATTTAGTAGGGATGGTTGAGCTAATGAGGGAGGGAGAGAGAGCTTACCCTCCCCCTCCTTGCCTGCCCCTCCCAATTCCATTATGCCTGAAAGCTGGCAAAATCCCCATTTGACTGTGGGGGGTGGGGCCTCTTCCTGCCCTAGATCCACTCCCAAAGCCCTAACGTTAAAGCTGAACCCCCCCCCATGTTAACTTCTTTCTCATGAAGGTGGGTCCATCGGTCCATTATCACAGTTTCATATCATCATAGTTTAACGTAGACAGGATGGGATCTTTCTTCTCCTCCAGTTGACGTAGAGACCTACTGCTTTGTCATTTCCCAGTTCCACTCCCTATCCCGCCACACCACGCCCCCTTTGATCTAATCTTCATTTATCCAGGCATAGGAGGATCCCTCCTCCTTCATTCCACCCCTCCCCCTTGTGGCAATCCCCAGCGGGGTTCTACAAGCTCCAAAGAACCCGATCCAGGAAGAGTCTCCCCTCCCCTCCCAGGCTGCCTGAGATCATCTATCCGAGCCCCCTGCTTACATGGTAAGAGGAGAGATCCTGGTTGTGGCGGTCCTCAATGTCGTTCAGCTGGCGCTCCAAGGACTCCTTCGTGCCTCGGACGGATTCCAGTTCGATGCTCTTGACCTGGAGCTGCCGCCGGTACTCGGAGATCTCTTCCTTGGCCGAGCGGATGGCTTCTTTGTTCTGCTCGGCGGCTTCGGTGAGCTTGGAGTAGCGGCACTTGAACCATTCCTCGGCCTGGAGCATGTTCTGGTCGGAGTGGCACTCGAGCTGGGAGCGGATCTCCTTGAGGGCGGCCGAGAGGTCGGTCTTCAGGTAGTCCTTGCGCTCGACGGGGACGTGCGAGGCTTGGATCTGGGCCAGCAGATCGCCCACCTCTTCCTCGTGGTTGCCCCGCAGGAAGGCCACCTCGTCCAGCAGAGACTGCACCTTCTTGTCCAGCTCGACCTTGACCATGGACGCCTCCTCCATGTCCTTCCGCAGGGCGCGGGTGATGGCCTCGGCATCCTCGTGGAGCCGCGCCTCGTCCTCGAAGCGCTCCTTCAGGCGCTGGATGTCCTCCTCCAAGTGCTCCGAGTCGAGCTGCAGCGCCGCCTTCTCGTGGTTGACTTGCTCCAAGGCAACGCGGAGCTCGCGGAGCTCGTGCTCCAGGGCGACGCCCAGCTGCGAACGGCCCACCTGCTTCTGCCGCAGGGCGGCCAACTCGGCCTCCAGCTCCTTGTTCTGCTGCTCCAGGGAGTGCACCTTCTCGATGTAGCCGGCGAAGCGGTCGTTGAGCCCTTGGAGCTGCTCCTTCTCGTTGGAGCGGCTCAACTTCAGCTCCACCGTCCCGCCTCCTCCTCCTCCTCCTCCTCCGCCTCCTCCTCCGCCGTTGAAGAGCGACGACTGGCTCAGCTCGAGGCTCTCGGTGGAGCTCAGCACCGTCGAGCCGTAGGAAGTCCGCCCCGGCCCTACATTGCGCTTATAAGCCGACGAGGCCGGGCTGGGCGAGCTCCGGGACCAGGACTGAGAACGGAAGCCGCTCGACGGGGACCCGCTGGCCCGGCTGAAGGTGGTGCGGCTCTCGGCCATCCGCCGGTAAGACGGGTTGCTCAGCGGCTCCAGCGTGTAGCTCATCTTGGAAGACTTGAAGGAGAGGCGCCTTGGGCGGGTTTTCCCGGCAGCGGACGGCTCTGGAAAAGCGGCGCCTTTTATACCGGAGCCGCACATTGGCTCCGGAGGGGGCGGGCTGGCCGGTATCGCGCGTGCTGGGCAAGGCGTGGCCAAGGGCCTCCAAGTCCCACCCTCCGCGGCCAAGCCACGCCTTTCCCCTCTCGCTTTCTCCCCGGCCAAGAATTTCAGCCCGGTTCCAGATATCCATGTCTGCCCCATTCATATAAGCCTCTTTCTTTCTTTCTTTCTTTCTTTCTTTCTTTCTTTCTTTCTTTCTTTCTTTCTTTCTTTCTTTCTTTCCTTCCTTCCTTCCTTCCTTCCTTCCTTCCTTCCTTCCTTTCTTTTTTTTATTTTAATTTGATTTATATGCCACCCTTCTCCGGAGACTCAGGAACTTACTCTTTCTTTCTTTCTTTCTTTCTTTCTTTCTTTCTTTCTTTCTTTCTTTCTTCCTTTCTTCCTTCCTTCCTTCCTTCCTTCCTTCCTTCCTTCCTTCCTTCCTTCCTTTCTTTCTTTCTTTCTTTTTCTTATTTATTTATTGAATTTCTATACCGCCTTTCTCCCGAAGGACTCAAGGCGGTGAACAGATTAAGATTTCATATACATATAATGATTTTTTATATATATAAACAGTAAATAATAAATTGAGTCAACTTGGTGTATCTGCTAAGACCTTGGCATAGAATTTAGATTTCCAGCCCCCACCCCCTACTTCGGCCTGTATTTTCTCTCTCCTCTCTTGAATGGCGCTTATAGCTTTAATGGCCCAGTTTTTGTTTTTGTTTTTAATTTGATTTATATGCCGCCCTTCTCCGGGGACTCAGGGTGGTTTACAATGCGTTAAGCAATAGCCTTCATACTTTTGTATATTTTATACAAAGTCTGCTTATTGCTCCCACAAACTGGGTCCTCAATTTACCTACCTTAGAAAGGATGGAAGGCTGAGTCAACCTTGAGCCTGGCAAGATTCGAACTTACTTTAATGGCAGACAGCTGGTGTTAAATTACAGTGCCTTGTCTGCAGAGATATCCAGGCTTGCAATACGAAGTCACCTTCCTTCCAAAGTTTCGTGGCTTTATGCTTTATTATCCCACCAGGGGCCTAGTGGTGCAGTGGACTAAACTACTGTTAAAGTAGTATTTAGCTGCCAGCTGCCTGCAATTACTGCGAATTCAATTCTCACCAAGGTTGACTCAGCCTTCCATCCTTCCGAGGTAGGTAAAATGAGGACCCGGTTTGTTGGGGGCAATAAGCTGACTTTGTATAAAATAGAACACCGCTGGGGGGGGGGGGCGGCAAAAGCCCCTCCTAAGCAGGTATATACAAATTTTTAACTTTTGTGTATAAATGTTTTTTATCTTGGCTGCTCACCGCCCTGAGTCCGAAAGGAGAAGGGCGGTATAGAAGTTTGAAAAATAAATAAATAAATAAATAAAAGTATGAAGGCTATTGCTTAAAAGCATTGTAAGCCGCCCTGAGTCTCCGGAGAAGGGCGGCATATAAATCAAACTAATAAATAAATAAATCCCAGTATGCACACGGGGCTGCATTCATAACCCAAGCCTTCCTCTTTCGCCCCTCTTCCCGTTGCTTTTATCACTATTATTATTATCCCCGTGGTTAATTTTTTTTTAAAATGCTTTTTTTCTTGATTCTTCCTCGGCCTTTCACCTCCTCCCCTCCCCTCTCGCTTTCCCGTAGGCGCCGCAGCTGCAGCAGCGGAGCTCTATGGAGCAGCTGGCCCAGTTCGCTGCCTTCCCCCTCCTCCCAAGGCTCTGGAGGTGGCGGGATGGGCGATTCGCTGCGGCTGAACCTCCTCCCAAGGAGAACATCCCGGCAAGCAGGCCTCTGGGGCTTAGGTTTTGGGGAAAGGGTCTGGCTCGGATGAGTTCAGGTAAGGCGCGTGTGGGTGTCGCTTTGGGGCAGCCATGGCGGTTTCAGCACCAAGGCCAGCTCCGCGAGAAGAAAGGACCGCGCGTCGGCCGGTGGAAAAAGCAGAAAGTGAAAGAATATTCGCGTGTCTATGGTGCGTGTGAAAAGGCGTGATTTCGGGCCTCTGGACAGGAGCTCTTGCCGGGTGTCTGCGAGTATCTGCAGGACTGGAGTTACTTTTCCATCTGCAATGCAGCGCTTGAGAGATAGCAGGAGACGGGAACCTTCTGAGTCCCAGTTAAGATTTTTTTTTTCCCCCCCCTGAACCCCATAATAGATTCTTTAAAAGAAAAAAAAAAGCTGTAAAAGAAATCCTTGACAGTTAAAGGTGTTGTTTCTCAAGGACTTGACATTGAAAGGTCAAGCATTCTGTCCGTTGGGGGAGGGGAATTCAATAGGAGTGGCTGCTTTATGATAACACAAACCACTCAGGGGAACCACGGTGGCTTAAGGAGGAGAAAGAAGGGAGTAATTCAGCACAGCAGGTTGCACATTTGACAGGATAATAATACTTGGGGGAAAAAAATGCTGAATCATTTTTATATCTGTCCCCACCTGTTCCATGAATGCCATCTATGCATCAATCACCTGTCCACATTTCTTAGTTATATACAAACATCTTCCCCCATTTGGGTTGGAAATTTTATCCATGCTCCCTCTGATAGTAAGTTCCACTAAATTTAAGTAGGGTTTATTTTTTTCCTCCCTGCAAAAGTTGTCTGCAGCACTTGCAAATGGTAGTAGGTTAAGCAAAAATCAGCACTCAGTTTTTTTCAGAGTCATTTCTTTGCATTCGATGGAATCATTCTCCAGAGTTTTTTTTTAAAAAATGGAGTGACAATCTAAACATAAGCTATATCTAGGGGAAGAAGATGGCTATCACCATCTTGAAACAAATTAAAAGGTTTTGTTAACATCCAAAAGGCTCAAAGGAGAAAACAATTTCACATGTTGAAATGATTCAGGTATTTTTTATTATGAAGTAAGTTCTACTGCATACAAGAAGTCCCACTCCCAACTAAATGCACAACAGAATGCAGCTAACCCCCCCCCCAAAAAAACCCCTTCTGTTCTGGGTTTAATACAGCCAATAAACTTGCTATATGATTGTGAACTTTGCTAATTGTCACAACCACTTTTACTTGATGCAAAGCAAAAAAAAAAAAAAAACTTTTTTTTTTTTGCTTTATAGTGTCATTCCTCACCTTATCCAGGGTTGGAAGAGCAAGAGACAACTTTGAAAGCCATGGGCAAAGATATCAGACCATTGTTGGCTCATAAATATGGCGGTGCCATAGAACTGCAGCACTGCAGTCTTTGTAAAAGGAAAACTGGGGCAGGAGACACTGAGAGGTTTTCTGAGAAGATACCTCTGCATGTTTAGACTTCTGGTTTAACCTCCTGGACTGTGTGTGACCAGAAGAAATTATTTTAAGAAAGCATCCAGCCTTTCTCATTCATTCAAAGTTCATCATCTTTTCCAGCTTCTTTTGCAATGCATTGGTTCCTCCTGCCATGCAGCAGGGGAAAACAACCTCCCTAAAGGTTACTCAGGGAGGGAGGACGAGCGATCAAAGACAAAAATTTGAATGTCAGGGAGATGTAGCAAGATTTCTCAAAGTGTTAATCTAAATAAAAGAGGCAGAGAACTGCCTCTGATAATTTGAATTTTGCTCTAGGCAGAAGGGTGTCTTGTTCTAGCACCAAGTGGGAAAACCTAACTCTTTAACTTGCCTTTCTCTCTTTCTATTTCTGTCTTTGCTTTGCACGACACAGAAGATCAAGCATAATGCTGCCTCAGTTTACAATCCCATCCCATTAAAACACTTGCTATTTACCCTGGTGTAAGCACACATTCTTTGGGATAGGACAGGTGCTATATGCAAGTTTATTATAGCATTAAATTCCACTAAATAAAAATGTATGGATACAGTATGAATTTTTATTAAGGCAAAGTTCTTATTAAAATCACCATTCATCATCAAATCTCATTTAAGGCAACAATAATACCAGATATTTACTTGCTAGAATATTCAAAATTAGATGTAATTTTCATGTTAAGAACAAACCCCTCCCTCCCCAGTGGATTTTAGGCTTCCTGAGCTTATAATATTAGTTCAAAGTGACATAAAACATAATATTCTTGGTTTACTGGTAGATAAATGCACCTTTTTTTAAAAAAAAATGTTGCAGTTAGTTTTATGATTAGGTCTAAGTTGTTTTAGGTAATTAAAAAAATGCCATGATTTTGAACAATGGATTGTTATTCTGGACAATAGTTAGTCTAAAAATGCAGAAGAAGAAGCATTGTATAGCAAAAGAGGGTGGACCCTTAATAGTAGATTATGGAAAGCAATATCATAAGATTTTCTTTTTTCATTAATTAATGTGAGGTCTGTATTCCTCAGCATCTATCCTGCTTATTCATTAAATAATGCTTATCTAACATGGTTTTATTTAATTAATACCTGAAGCCTTTTCTTGTCTAATGATTTCAATGCAAATATTCTGGCATTCCATCTCTCCTTAAAAAAAAAAACCACATTATTTGAAAATATCACTGCCTACTGTTTCTATTCTTCCTTCTTTAGAGTGATGTTACGGAAAGCAATAAAGCTGCTTCCAAGTAAGTGAATTATGATTTATTAGTAAAGGGGAATGTATGTGTGCAATTGAACTGTTTCAATGGAAAAAAATAATAATAACCAGACATTCATTTCCAAGGATTTAATTCTCAAGAATTCTGGCAACTGAATGGACAAATATTTCTGGTTCTTACATTTCAATGAAGGTGATGTGTAGATTAAAATAAATTAGTAGTAAATAAATTGGTAGTCAGTGTTCACATATCTTTTAACTTTCTTCTCCATTCTGTTTCATCTCATCTTATCTCTGCTTCTGCATACAGTCGAGCTGCAGATATTCCATTGACTACAATGGGACTTTAAAAAAACTATGCAGGTTTGCAGAAAATTCCTCTTGAAGATCGAGAATATTTTATAGTTGACTATTACTTCAACTGTGTTTAATAAAATATTATTTAAAGGAAGGCTGCTGAACTTAATAAGATGAAAGTTAATCATGATCAAGACGCATTGATTTCTACGGAGCTATTTTAACCATGAATAATTCTGCAGACTCACATCTCAAAAATAAAACTCACTTAACTCAGAAGGATCTACTTGAGATGTATAGGACTGAACTGTTAAAATGGATCCAATCTATCAATCCAGAAGAAGCCATCTTGGTTTCATTTTCCCATTTTCTTTTAACAACTTTCCTCAACCTCTGGATGTATTAGAATACAATTCCAATGTTTCTCCAGGTAATATGGTCACTTTTCATTGCACAATGACAAGGGGAACAAAATTCTCCTAAAATATGCTTCCTTTGTGCACATTTTTCCTTAAAAATAAACTATTTTTAGTTGGATGCATTTTCAAAACTCCCAAAGTGTAGAATTTTGTGTACAAAGGCATTAATTTCTTTGAGAACTTGGGTAAGTCCACACAAAAAAAGTGACATTTCAAAATTCCCCTCATCCTTTGAATTAGTCAACTCAAACTTCTACATAATTGTTTTCCAATACTCATGCAGTTGAGTTGTTCCTTCAACTCCTTCATGCTACTCCAAGACTTGCTATGGAAGGGATTGTAACATTTCTCTCTGCAGTCATTGCCCATGTCAACTTTAGAATATTGGCAGGATTATGTATTTCTGTGCGCAGGGTCCACCTCAATTATTTGATCATATAAAAATCAAAGAAGGGATAATGGGATAAGGGATTGTAGGGCCATTATTTTGAAAATCAAAAGCTCTTTTGTGCAGTCAAATTGTGATACACATATGTACTGACATGCTACTTTAATATTTGAAAATAAATTTCTCCACTCTGATGCTGTCTAGTATAATAATATTGCATCAGTCATTGCAGTACATTCTACAGACCCCACCAAGGAAGAAGCACATTATAATTATATATAAAAAAGGTGGTTTAGATCGTGATTGTGGCTGTTTTCTTAATTAATTTGTTTGACTGACTTGCAGACAGTGTACAGTAACAGACCCGGGGACCGCCAAGTTGAAAAAAGTGGAGCTAAATAAATAGTAAATAAAGATTAAAAATTATAATTGCAACAGTAAAAATTAATTCAAATTTTAAAAGGTATTAGAATATAAAGATAAAATAGAAGATGCAGGAAAGGAAGGAAAAAAGAGAGAGAGAGAAAGAAAAGTAAAAAAATAAAGAGAACAAAAGAAATATATAGAAGTGATTTCTCACATTCAGCAAAAGTGTAAATAATTATAGTAACTATTTATTTATTTATTTATTTATTTATTTATTTATTTATTTATTTATTTATTTATTTATTTGCATCCTGCCTTTATCACCTGTTCTTAAATACAGCAGATATCTTCTTCCCATAACCCATCTCTAACCTATAAACAAATCTATAAAATAATCATTTCAGTCTTGATGTCAACAAAAGACTATTAAAGGTTAGCCTTTAGTCCAATCAAATAAAGTTGCAGAACATTTCCTCTTGGTTCCTTCTCACAAGATTTTTCATAACTTTAACAAGTCCCGTTTGTAAATTCAATGTAAGAAAATTATTTAGGTCACTCTCTTGGTTTATTGTTCATATATCCCCTTTAATTCTCAAAGTTGCTTTTTCAAAAGGCAACTGGCAACCCAACCATCCAATCAGAACTGATGAAGCTTCTTGGATGAGAAGAGAAACATCTTCTTCAACGGTAAAAACATAGTCCAGTTGCCTTTTGAAAAAGCACCGTTGAGGCAATCATGACCTGGATGACTGAGAATCTCCATAGATATTCCTTTCAATCATTAAGTCATCAGTCGATTTATTTTGTATATTCAATGTAACATCTTTTTCCATGTTATTCTTGTAGCCGGTCCTTTGTAAATTCACTTTCAACTCAATCTTGAACTTGTCAGATAAAATTTGCTCCTCTTCCATAACGTCTTTTACACAGTCTCTCCATCAAGACAGATGTCACTGTTGACACTTTTAAAATTAACTTCTGAATTCATTATTCAAAAATATCCTTAATTATATTCAGCATTAGAAGATTTTGCTTCGCTCTGTAATTGTAACTTGAAATTATGTGTTCTTCTCCTTGTAATCTTTACTTCCCTCTACTATCCAATTTTAAAGCCTTATCTTATTATGTTTATCTGGAGCCTTAGTCCATGTTTAACTTTCTAACATCAAAGGTTTAACTATTTATTCCTCCCAACTTTGTAATAAGGTTTTTGTAGTTAAGACTAAATTTCATTAAGAACTGAAGGAGACTCACCCAGTGTTATCAAATTTGTCGATACAGAGGTTTTTAATAGAGGAAATGCAGCTAACAAGCAATTTCCGAAAGTGATTAGAAAAGGAAGAATGCAAACTTAATGTCCTTTCAGCAAGATGGCTATTCCCCTTGTATCCCAGATCTCTAAACCCACTGGAGACTGCTGTCTTGTAGTCTCCACACAAGGAACAACTGTCTGGAGCGCTTGTGGATGATCTCAAACTCTCTCCTTGTCCAGAGAGGAATCATCAAATAGCTAGTCTACTTGCCAGCTCTTTGTTCCTCCATGATTGTCAGTTCCACTTTTTGTGGAGATGTCTTCTGCCATTTCTTCTTCTGGAAGTCTATAGCAGTGGTGAAATCTAAAATTTATTATTACCGGTTCTGTGGGCGTCGCTTGGTGGTGGTCGGTAATGTGACTGGGTGGGCGTGGCCAATTTTTTTTTACTTTTAAAACCATTTTTTCTACAACCTCTTTGGCGAAGAGGTTGTAAAAAATGCTTTCAAAAGGCTCTGACGATCCCAGCTGAGTTGCCTGATCGGCAGAGGCTTTTTTTCTTTTAAAAGCCTCTGCAGATCAGGCAACTCAGCTTGGATTGTCAGAGGCATTTAAAAGAAAAAAAGCCTCTGCTGATTAGGTAACTCAGCTGGGATCGTCAGAGGCTTTTTTTTTTACTTTTAAAAGCATTTTTTTGGCCGAAGAGGTTGTAGAAAAAATGCTTTTAACATTTTTTTTAAAAAAGCCTCTGATGATTGTGCGGCTCAGCTGGGCATGTGTGAGGTGGGGTGGGGCACAGGGATTTTTGCTACCAGTTCTCCGAACCACCCGCCGCCATCGCTACCAGATCGGGCAATCCGGTCCGAACCGGGAGCATTTCACCCCTGGTCTATAGTCACCAATACTGAGATCCTAAATTTGGTATCCTTTTCTGTTTAAAGAATACAGACAAAATAATTAAACTTGTAGATCTATCTATGGAGGTTCTCGGTTCTCCAGGTCATGGTTGTCCCAAAGGTGCTTTGTTTTCAAGAGGCAACTGAGCTTTCTGGAGAAAGTCCTTCCAGAAAGTCCAGTTGCCTCTTGAAAAAAAAAAAGCACCTTTGCATATCTACCCTAATTATAGAGGTTTTAAGATACGGTAGGTGAATGTCGAACCCCAAACTTTTTAGACAATGAAACGGTTTATTTGACCAAGTTTAAACAAACTGAATAGGATCAAAACTGATTTTGTCTCCTGAGACCTCTGGGTACATAAAATACTAAGTGATCCAAATTTTATGCCCCCTAGCCCCCATTAGCCTATCATAAGAATACCACAAACAGCAGAAAAGAAATGAAATCAAATTTCCAAAGAGCTTTCAAGTCATGCAATTCATTTTGGTCTTCAAAAGGTTCCTGCTCATTTCATGAGCTTGCTTCAATGAGATGATTCCATCAAAGCCCATGTTGAATTGACTTCCTCCATTGATGTTTGCACAGTCCTAGCATCAATGTTCTATCCTCTGATTTGTGGATGATCTTGTGCAGTTGTTATTATGTTGATTGATTTTGGACTAGAATATATATATATTTTTACTTCTGCTATTTATCTGAGCAGGTCTTCGTGTGCAGCCATGTAATTGTGAAGACGCTGAAGAGACCGGGGAGATTCTGGTGCAGGTATCCCCAGTGATGGAAACTCAACGAATATCTGCCTTGAGCTCCTGAAGAAAAATTGAAATATACGATATATATTTAACACAAAAATTTTTGAAAAAAAAGAATGAAAAATATATGTTGGGCAAATATTGTACAAGTCGATGCTGCAAGGAAGTAGAACTATAGTTTAGAAAAACTTTCCCCAACAAAGAGTCCTTCAATCAATCAGAATAGAGTTGGAAGGGACCTTGGAGGTCTTCTAGTCCAGCCCCCAGCTCAAGCAGGAGAATTTATACCAGGGGTCTGCAACCTTAAACACTCAAAGAGCCATTTGGACCCATTTCCCACAGAAAAGAAAACAAAACAAAACCCTCCCTGTGCCTGACTATTTCTTGAGCGGCCACAAAACTAGCATATGTAGTTGAATTGAATCTTCTATTTTCTTCTGAAACTTTTCTTTTCTTGGATTTATCCATGGTTGGCCTACTGGGGGTTGAAAAGCTCAATAAATCACATGCCAGTGGGTGTCGCACATTGGCATATTGACGCAAATTTTGAGTGACGGGGAGCCGCAGCAGAGAGGTGAAAGAGCCACATGCAGCTCCAGAGCCGCAGGTTGCTGACCTCTGACCTATACCATAGGACCTCCTAATCTGGTACAGCAGAGCCCTCATTATCTGTTGGTATCCTGTCAATCATATTTTCTGGCTTGGAATAGTGATAGACATAATCCGATACATTGGTGAGCCCCACATTGGAGAAGCTGGCAGAGGAAGGGTGTTCTTCCCCGTTCCACTCACGCACCCCCCACAGACGGCCCAGAGTTAATAAATCACACGACAAAACTCTTTGATGATAAAGCTGGCAGCAACCCAGTGGCTAGCTGCCAATTCAGACTTTACTCACACAAAACAAAGATTAGACTGCCAGCATTCCGATAAAACAGGCAGAGTGTCAACAATACAAGGATTAATCCAAATGCAGTCCGATAAAGCAGGCAAAATCCAGTAACGCAGAGATCATGGAGTATTTCCAGTTTTTGCTCATCACAAAGTGAACTGGCCACCACACTCACATTTATACCCTGTGGGGTGTGGTCCAGTGACTCAGCTAATCTCTGGCACGCCTTCCCTTCTGCTGTGCACGCTTCTCCCTGCGCCTCTGTCGCGGGTCCAGCCAGCACTTATCTTCTTCATTGCTGTCCACCTGTGGCTGTGGGGACGTGCTTGGCTCTGAGCCTATCGTTTGGCCTTTGGTGTCCTCTGGAGGCATTGCCAGAGAGGAGGGTCCTGGAGAGGGAGGCCTTGCCAACTCCTCTCCCTCACTCTCAGAGTCTGCATCTGTCGATAGCCCAGGCTCAGGCAACGGAGCCACAACAAAGGGAGACTTAGTTAAGCAGTAAAAATTGCTCTATAAGTAGAACAATCCAGGTTCAATCCCCATATGTCCATTTTCATTTACTGAATAGTGTGAAGGACTTGCTTTGAAATTCCTTAACTGTTGGTGGAGGTAGTGTTGAAACCGATGGGCAAGCAATCTGACATTGTATAAACCAGAAACTTGTGTTAAGTTGCTGTAGGCCAACAGCATGAAGATTGGGTGAGTTATCTGAAGCTTAAGATCATCACATCTAGACTGCTGATGGTGAAAATATAGTGACCAAACACTACGCTATTGGCTGACAACTTGTGGACATTGGGATTCTTGCAGCCAAGTTCTTGTAAGTCTTCTGAAGTCGGTTGCTACTTCAAGTAAGTGAAATTTGGAACAAGAAATTCAAATTCAGTTCAGACATCGGTCAGTAGAAAATATCTCCCTATCCATATGCTTCCTTATCTCTAACCTATTATATTTGAAACCAGCTATTCCACAAAACATGATTTTCCTTTTTTTATCTTTACAACAACGGTTTGCGGTAAGTTTGACCTCTTGTATTGTTCTAAAATGCAAAATGTTCTTATCATGCCTCAGAGATATATTAGGGTTATTAATATAACCCTTGGAGCATTGCCAAGATTGGATTCACCTAATCAAATTGATTATGATGCTTTCGTTTGATGCAGAAATCTAAGGAGCTTTCTAGCTAGGCTTGCTCTCCCTCCTTCCCCCAGGTATGCTTGTTTGTTTTGCATTTGCAGGTATTTGTCCATTTGCAAAATGAAAAAAAAGGGAGTAATCAAGATCGTGGGACAGCATGCATCTGAAATGATCTAAAATCGACGATGTCAGGGCAGATTAAACTACTGGCTGGTACCAAAAACTGAAGGAGCTGAACTGAAAAGAATTCTCGTCCTTGCAAAGATGTATCTAAAGTGTCCTCTGGTGGTGAAGACATGCAACATATAGTGTTTAGCAAAAAAACTGCACAATTTAATAAGGGGGGAAGGGAAGGGAAGAGAAGGAAACAGCATTGGAGAGAGAGAGAGAGGGAGAGAGGGGGAGGGAAATGGGGGAAAAAGAGAGAGGGAGAGGGAAAGGGAGGGAGGGAAATGGGGGAAGAGAGAGGGAGAGGGGGAGGGACATGGGGGAAAAAGAGAGAGGGAGAGGGAAAGGGAGGGAGGGAGGGAAATGGGGGAAGAGAGAGGGAGAGAGAGGGAGGGAAATGGGGGAAAAAGAGAGGGAGAGGGAGAGGGAGGGAGGGAAATGGGGGAAGAGAGAGAGGGAGAGAGGGGGAGGGAAAAAGAGGGAGAGGGAGGGAAATGGGGGAAGAGAGAGGGAGAAGGGAGAGGGAAATGGGGAAAAGAGGAGAGGGAGGGAGGGAAATGGGGAAGAGAGAGAGGGAGAGAGGGGGAGGGAAATGGGGGAAAAAGAGAGAGGGAGAGGGAGGGAGGGAAATGGGGGAAGAGAGAGGGAGAGGGGGAGGGAAATGGGGGAAAAGAGAGGGAGAGGGAGAGGGAGGGAGGGAAATGGGGAAGAGAGAGAGGGAGAGAGGGGGAGGGAAATGGGGGGAAAAGAGAGGAGAGGGAGAGGGAGAGGGAGGGAGGGAAATGGGGAAAAGAGAGAGAGGGAGAAAGGGAGAAAGAGAGGGGGGAGAGGGGGGGAAACACACAGAGCGGGCCTCCTCAGGGTGCCGTCAGCCAGACAATGTCGGCTGGCGGCCCCCAGGGGGAGAGCGTTCTCTGTGGGAGCATCGACCCTCTGGAATGGGCTGCCCACCGGCCTCAGGACAGCCCCTGACCTCCTCTCCTTCCGCCGCGAATTGAAGACGTAGCTTTTTCACCAAATGGGCTGAATCCGTAGAGGTGATTTTTAATTAATTTTTTAATTAATTGTAACTAATTTTAAATTGACTTTGATGTTTATGTAATTTTTTTGTCTCCTTTCTTGTAAGCCACCCTGAGTCCTTTGGAAGAAGGGCGGCATATAAATTACATACATACATACATACATACATACATACATACATACCTGCATACATACGTAAATGGGGGAAAAGAGAGAGAGAAGGAGAAAGAGAGGGAGAGAGAAGTTTGCAAATTCATTGCTTGGTTCAGGACAGTTTTCCGCTTCTTTCTCATGCTCCAAGCTAGTCCTACTATGAAGAAGAAGAAGAATAGAGTCATCTTTGATGCACAGAAAAAATGCACTTTTTACTCAGATTGATAGAACTGTCTGCATTCCCCATCCATTCTAAAGGGGGAAAGCAACAGAACACAATTTTGATGGGGAATTCTGCTGATGATGCCCTGCGTGAAGTAGCCATTTGGGCAACTTCTAATTCACTGCACAGTTATCTCTCCGTCAATCCACGTATGCCTTACACTCCCACATTTCAATGGAATCTGAGTGAAAGACCGAATATATTTTCTCCCGTATGGCTCTTAAAAAACAGAGAGAGAGAGAGAGAGAGAGAGAGAGAGAGAGAGAGAGAGAGAGAGAGGGAGAGAGAGAGAGAGAGAGAGAGAGAGAGAGAGAGAGAGAGAGAGAGAGAGAGAGAGAGAGAGAGAGAGAGAGAGAGAGAGAGAGAGAAAAGGAATATTTGCTGCTAGGGAAAGTGAATAAGCATGAAGGAGGAATAGTGCCATCTGCCATATCACTGTCATTAAATCATTTCAGAGTTAAAAATAAAGGCTCCTGCAACAGAGCTGTCCATTACTAGCCACCACGATGCCAAAAGGATGATATTGTGATTCCAGAACACAAGTTTATCCTTTCATACTTGAGTTGAAATGTTGCATGCAAGTACATGCATGGAGTTTTCATTGGAAAACGGCTGCTGTCAGGTGCAATAAATCGGGAACAGGAGTTGAGTTCAAAGCATTAAGAGTTTATTCAACCACCTAGACACAAGAATCTGGTCTTCTAATGGTCAAGTCAAAGTAAAATAGAAAAAAGTCAGCGGAATTCACAGGAGTCTGGACTCTCTTCTTGTTGTGCAATGATTCTAAACTGATGAGGCATTTAATTCCACCCTCAGGTTTAGCCTGCTCATCTCCTATAGCAGGGGTCGGCAACCTTAAACCCTCAAAGAACCACAAAGGTCTTAACCGGAACCCCAGTTCAATTCTGGAGCTGACCGGAAGTCCGGTTCCCCCACCATAGAGTCTCCTCCTAGTGGTGTCCTTTTTCCTCTACTTGTCCTAACCAAAAGCCCTATCAATTGTGGAGCTGACCAGAAAACCCACCCCTTCCCATAGAGTCTCCTCCTGGAATGCCATGCTTTCCTCCCCTTAACCGGAAGCTCCTCTCCAAATTGTGGCACTGACCAGCAACAGAGAGACGCAGCAGAGGGATGAAAGAGCCACATGCGGCTCCAGAGCCGCAGGTTGCTGACCACTGTCATATAGCTATATCCACAGGGAGGTCATGTGCATCACGATGTCTTCATGCAAATGTAATTCACACAAGTTGACTTGATGTAATTTTTGGCAGTTGAGTGATGGTGCTCTGATGCTCCTGACCTCAGTGTGGCTTGTACCAGATGTTTCATTTAAGACGTCCAGGAAATACACTTAACCAAATTATTGAAGTAACTCATTTTCTGGGTTCAGTCGATACGTTGGGCAAACGGTCACCAAGGTTTGTTCACAATGCCCTCTTTCCTTTTGGAGATGGTAGAGGGCCATTCATTGCCTTCCGTTCCATAGTGATGGAGCAATGAGGATCCAGCTGAAACAATAACATTAAGTCTAATGCTCTCTTTCCCCCTTTCTCATACTGAAACCAATTACCATGATGACTGAAGGATTATTTAATATTGGGAATGAAAAGACATTGTCAAGGAGGCGAGGCGTTTCTTTTGGCAGAGCTTCAGTAAGTGGC